AGAACAAAGCCGCGACAGAGCATGAGATCCGCACTGTGCCTGAAGGCACACGCGCTAATCTAGTCCAATCCAGTCTACCTGACTGATATTGGCCACTAGCTTCGCGACATCACGCTATTAGCTTCAATATGTCTGTGAGACTGGACAGTGGTCAGGTCCCATCGGAGCTCAGGTTCGGCGAAAAGTTTATTGGCAAGCGCTTTCCGTTTGGAGCCAACGTCCTGTATTGGGCGCCCCAAAGCAGCAGACGCCTGGGAGATCAAAGTTCGCTGGTACTGGAATCGAAGGAATTTGTCTCGGTTACCACATTCAGCCTCGCTTTGTGTTTAAGGCTGAGTATCAAGTGGCACCATTGCACGATAAGCAAGACATCCATAACACTTTGAGAACGACGCATTGAGAACCTTCCGTGCTCACTGATAGTCGGAAGGGTGTATTCTACCATCCCTAACAGAAGCTTATGTTGGTTGTCTATGTCGACGACTTCAAACTGCAGGTCCCAGTTAAGAATTTCATCAAAGAAGGCTGGGATCTTATCTCTAGTGTCATTGACATGGACTTACGTGAAGTCATGGGGAGATACTTTGGATGTATGCACAAAGAGGAACACAACCTCAAGCTTCCCAAGACGCTCATTGTTTTCGTCATGCGTTCGGGCCTGATCTCAAACCCGTCAGACACCACCATTACCCCTGCAAGCAATGTTTAACAGGCCGGTGAGGATGATGCTCGACATTGGTCCGTGGCGGTACACTGCGGCACTGTGGTTGCCAATTGATCGCCTGTCTCTCAAACCAGCTGCAACACCTTTTCATGCCTAGAATGGCCTAGAACTGCAAAGCCCACAAAGTGTTGATGAAGATCTTATTCGCAGCGCCGATGGGGCTTGTGGAGAGCGACCCAATCGCTTGCTTCAGGGGTCACTAAATGGAGGCCCGATTGTGATCTTGGCCTACATCGTCTTGTCTGCTACATCAGTTTACCGCGGGATGTAACCATGAGCGGTTTTATCAGAGACAGCATTATGGGTTGCTCAAAAAAGCAAAAATCAATCACCATGAGTTCCACCGAATCTGAAGTCGTAGCAGCCAATCAAGGGTAGCGAGCGCAAGGTCTGCCGAGCCTCAGCCTTTGGTATGTCCTGTGGCAGATGTCGGCCGCAAGGCCAAGCCGATGGCTGAGCAAGTTGACTGCAGTATTCTTGCACGCATTGATTCCGAGCGTGATGAAATTCGGTATGGTGCAACAAGATCGGATGGTTTGTCCATAACTGGTATCGATGGTCTCCGTGGCCAACTACCCAAGAGTTTTCAAGTTAGACACATGGAAGACAATCAGGCTACAATTACATTGTTGTTGTCGGGACAAGCTGGTGTACCACCACATACCGACCGTACAAAGAAGTCAGCTTTGTGTGGTTCAAGCAGCAGTATGACCATGGGCAATTTCGTTTGCTGAAAGCTGGTGCGACTGAACAAGTAGCGGATGTGTTCACCCAGCCATTCACGGAAAAGAACAAGTGGGTTCATGCTCAGACTGGACACGCATCGAGCATGCATGCCGGGTGCAGACCCGAGTCGTATATTCGAGTGGATGATGCGTCTGCTAGGATGGATGACGAGAAGGTTTTCGAGAAGGTTTTCGGTGTCAGCGATGTCGGTTGGCGTAAAGGAATATTAAAGACATCGAGGACTTCGCTACAGGGCCCTTTGATTCAATCAAGCTCGACTTCCACGCTTTCGAGAACCTTGCTACGCCTCCGCCTACGCTCTCTTGCGTGAACGATCGAAAGCTGCCACATCGAAGTCTCCTTCTTTGACGCAGCATGGAAAATAGTTTACCTACCTAGCGTTTGGAACCTGGGTGCACGTTGGATGCTTCGGAGTCACCAAAAGGAGCTGGCTCTGGCGACAGCCTCAAGGGAAAGTCAGCTCGGGATGGAAGGAACCGAGGCACTCGATGTGCCGGGGCACAACGTTGTCCTGGTTGCAATGGCAAGTCGAGGAACACGTGAAGGCGTATCAGCTGTCGCATCCGAGAGCCTTCGTTGATGTGATAGTGTGACGGGCCGGCAACGACATTTTCGGACAATGGGGCTGCAATCCCAATCGCAGTCTCCCAGCTTACGACTCCTGCAACGAGCTGATGTTGGAGTTCGAGACATGGGGCTTGCAGACCCAAAGAGCTACGCCGTGCATAGAGAACTTCAAGATGTACAACAGCTTTCACTCATCGGAGACAGAAGAACACAACCGGATCTTCATCGCATACATGCACGCCTCTCGAGGTCTGAGTGTTTTGCGGTGAAAGTGGCCTGCGTGTAAGACCTTGCTTCCTAGGTACCCGCGCGCTGAAGATGAGGGTGCCAAGAACCCTGTGGCGGATGAAGTCCTGGCGAAATGGAAAGACGAACGCGACGACTTCCAGCATTAAGCATAGCATTGTCACTGAGGAAGACGGGCAGTGGGAAGTCCCGACATCACCAGGGCCGACGAACTCATGCACGGGGGCGTACGGTTCGAGCTCCAGTGTTTCCCCGCTGCAGCAGCTCATCGACGACAATCCAGTCCAAGATGATGAAGGCATATGAAGGCAAGGTAACCTATGCTCCACTGGCCACCGGTGGATTTGGTTGACGACGCCCAGTATGAGAATCCAATTCAGTCCATTCCTTCGACAGCTGGAGGTGTCATGCCCCAAGCCCTCCACAAGGAGGATGACTGACCAGGAAGAGCACGACCGTTTCCGCGAGATGTATGTTGACCAAAGCGCCCCGCAAGGGGCAGCCGCAGCGGGTGTTATGCCGGCACAGACCTACCTCTTCCATGCAGTGGTCCACCAGATGATGCCACTCAACCCTGAAGACATCGCGGGAGGCGAAGTTCCGAAACGGCGATCTTCGGTTCATCTCTCTTTTGCTGCGTGTGGGCACGAAACGATCACCACGGTCGCGGCTTTGACGCTGGGAGTTGGCGCGATGTCGACAAGCTGTTCGACACAGTCAGCCGATGCCGCAACAGAAGCTGGGGGATCAAGCAGTTGTTGCGTGCGGTGAGGGCTGACAACAATGGGAGGGCTGCATTTGCTCGGCATCGACGTCTCTATGACTCTATGGACGATCGGCCAGCTGCTGCTCCCTGTCAGGATTTGTATCACTGGCGGGCCGTCACCATGCACAATTTCAATCACAGGTGACGCCGACACAGATCTTTTCCTGGCTACCCGGTTCTACAGCTCTCTGGAGACCGAGCCCGCAATCCAGGAGACAAGTCCCAGAGGCGTGACTGTGCTGAGCAAGGCGACATATGCAAGAAGCTCTTGCACCGGACTTCCAGTGCTCCTCGCCAGCGGACTCATCCCAGGTGCAAAAGCTGTTGCGAGCCTTCCGGTTGTCGGATGATAGCACAACTACCCCCATTTGGCCACTTGGCTTTTGCTATATGGGTGCCTTCATCCCTTGCCGCAAAGCAGGCCCGTCGTGTTCTGACTTTCGACGGCGAGATTTAGTTTGAGCCGGCGGAGGACCTCACAGGCTTTCGAAACCGAAAGGCTAGCCAGCGGAATTGTAGCAAGGGCACTCCGGCCGACAGTTGCCGCACTCAGGCTGAGTGGAATCGGTGTCGTTATCAGACCCGCCAGCAGCATTCGCAAGCTGATTGGGATGCCGGGAACTAGCACCGTCGGCATTGATGCTGAATGGGATTTTGGTTCCCATTCGCACTTCAGTCTTTTGGGCATGAAGGGCTTCCGTCCCATGCATTTATACAAGCTCGCTTTGGCTGCACAAACGTTTTCTTAGCCCAAGGCAACCCGGAGCCATAGGTCCGTCGGTCAAACCGAAAGACCTCAGCTGGAGCTGCACGGCGAGCCGGGTGTAGATTTTACCCTGCCTCCGTGTATACTTTTGACGCCCGCAACCACCGCATACAAGCTCCACAAAGGGTTGACTTGATGGTAGAGTAGCCGCAGTATCTGTGATACCTGAAACTTCATGTTTGCCGTCCGTCGCCCGGCTCTGAGATCTGCTGTTTCCCATGCCCAACCCTGCATTGGTCCCAGTTACCTGTCACCCCAGTCCGCCTTGCCCTTAACTAGATTGCAGCACCACCACCTGTCCCGCCTGCCCCAACCTACTTCACCGTACACTTTATCGTGTACGCTTAGCCCGCTTTTTTGGCCGATGCTGCCCAACCCTAGCGGTTCTCGGCTACCGCTTCCTCTGTTCGCATTTCCTATCACTATCATTTCCTGTTGTTACGAAACTTGACTTGTTGTTTCCCGTGGTTTGCAAACCAGCAGCGTGTGTTGCTGCACAGCCAGTGCATTTTGCTCAGATGAGCGGTGCATCATGCTTGCAAGCGCGAGAAGCCTCACTAAGCCTTGCACAAGTGCTCCGGTAGAAATTCTTGACGAAGGAAGTCTGACTCGGTTCTGGCGGGTGGTGTTCCTCGCGTTTTGAGGATGTCCTTTCGGGTAAATTGTGTGTTGCGGAATGCCTGGCAGACCCGGCACCACAGAGGTCACGAGCACATGTTCACCATCCCCTGTGCCAGCATCCCAGAGCCTGAGCAAGACGCTTGCTGCAAAGTGCACGACCGCTGCTTTGGCGGTGATGTTGCAATGCTTGCACATGTGGTCGGTTCAGGAGTCGCAGACTAGAATGTGTCGGGGTCGCTTGCGCGCGCCCCTGGCAATGCTGCAGGATGGACAAAATTCCTTCGCAGTGCAGCGAAGGGTCACAGCCAGTAGCCGTCTGAAGGCAGGGAGGGGCAGAGAGAATAGACTAGACCCGACAGATGCATTCAGACACGGAGCCAGATAGCATGCTGGCGCTGCTGGCAGCAGTATACTATAGTCAGTTTGGGGTGTCCTTGCGACCTGCCCTTGAAGTTGAGTTGTATTGAATGAAGCAGCACGAGGCCTACATTCCATCGCTCTCAAGGCTCAAGCCTGTCGCTTCCCTATCCGCACGCTCGACCAGTGCACTTCTGCCGACCAGTATGGGCAACCAGCAGCGAGATGCATATAACACTGTCGTGCAGTCTCCATCGAGTCCCGACCCGCACGAGTGAAACGGAGCACGTCTGAGGCAAGCGCGCTTGGTGCGATGTGAGGCATGCAGCACCTGGTCGCAGGCCCCGGCAGGCGCCGGGTTGCTCGAGCGTTTGGCAGGAGCTCCCGGTCCAGAGTGAAGCGAAGACGGATCTGGACAAGGAGCGGCCATCTGAGAGCTGAGAGAAGCTCTATGACATTCTATGACTATGGCCTTACAGCATGCTAAAGTAGCGCTTCCGCCCATACATGGAGGCCTTTGAGGCTAGAAGAGGCATGTCCACGTGCAATTAACGGAGGTGACACAGGAATGGTCCGAGTGCAAGGGTGGCCCCGGACCTTGCCACTTCGCACATACACACACACACACACACCCCACACGTCTTGCATGCCATGCACCTCGCTGGGAGGACCAAGACTTCAAGCTACCCTCGCACGCTGAGGTGCATGCCAACGCGAAGCCAATGTTCTCATCAAAGTGGGAGCGACTCTTGCCTGGTATCTATTTGCACATGAAGCAGAGCTTCGAAAGCATGAACAAAGTAGTCTCCCCTCGACCTCTGTTGTCCAACATTGCCTTGAACAGCAGTTTGCAGGACTTGGTCAGGTGACACCATTTTCGTCCCACCAAGACTCCGGAACACGACTAAAAACGGGGTGCGGGGAAGTTAGGTGATGGCGTATATACGCTCGCTGACTCGCTCAAGTAGGTGGAGCAAGATTTGTTCAAGCCACCGACTGGACTGAGCACTTTGTCATAAAGACATCGATCCGTGTAGTAAACATGCGGATACGTTGCCGTGTTGCCTGTGCCTTCGACCTTTGTGCAAATTGCTGCTAGGACCGCTAGGATCGTGGCTGCTTGCTCAGGGGCGTTGCAGGCTGAAGCGGATAGCTAAAGGCTCTCGGACCGTTGATGAAGAAGGGGTCGACTGTCAAAATAGTTAGGCGTCATGTAGACGCCGACCGTTAGTTAACAGTTAAGTTTACCCAGATGCATTTTGGATTATTCAAAACAAGGAGGAAAAACTCCTTTGGTTTACGTTTACATTTTTGAAAACTCCACAATGCTACCGCCGCAGCCGCCAGCATTTTCGTGACGTTAGCTCAATAGTTGTAAGCTGTGTGCTTGCTGAGCCACTGGCTACGAAAATGTTAAAGGTCCCCTCCACATGGGAGTCTTCAAGCATACAGAGCAAGAGACAACAGCAGCACCGTGAAACCTACCTTGTCGTAGATAATGACCCCTCTCGTGGAAGCACAAGGCAGCAGCACCAACACGACTGAGACCCAAGCTGTATTGCCTCCGAGACAGCCCGCTTCTCTTGTGTTACGAGCAGGGGCTCCGTATGAGCCGGTGTGGTGTTTCAATTCTGTCTTCGAACGGAACGCATCTTGGGCCTGTGTGTTGCTTGGTGCTTTGGTGTGTAAGGTTCTTGCATGCAACATCCCGTGGAATCGAATGTGTCCTGTGCAAGGGCTGTTCTCCTGTTGACTCGACAAGCAAGTGGTCACATTTGCACTGTGCTGCAGCGAAGAGTGCCGCATGCACCCGGGAGCTCATTCACCTGTAATCTTTTCAATCTGCGAGCGATTCAAAAGAAAACGATAGTAACCTGGAAGCCTTGCCAACCGTTCTGAGGACTTTAGCTCGACCCTCCGAAATTCGGGAAGCAAAGGATCAAGCTCAGCTTCGGAAAATTGTTGATCGGAAAACATGCTCATCCAGTGAGGCGCTGTGGCTTATCATCATGGTCTTTATGTGCCTGAGAAGCTTGGCGAAGTTGCTCACCATGTCGTGTCATACAGATTTGCCCCAGGCATAGGTGGGCTTCTTACAGAGTGGGGCTCAGGAAATATGCCGCGACCAAGACGGCCGAAGACATCCGTGTGGCTGTCGCCGACTACTCGGACAAGGTGCACAAGGCATGGTCATCTTCAATCCAAGAAGCTCCGGAAAAAGCTGGACTTGGCACTACGATGCCGATTGTGCTGACGAGCACGACATATCTGACCTATTATTTGCTGCATTTGCATTGGGGATCGAACGGATTGTCGGGGTGCGGCCCGCAACACTCGGCAAACTTTGCGAGTTTGCAACGTTGGGCTCTCCACTGCACAGGATTCCCCCAAGGATGCGTGCAAGTACCTGCAGATTGAGGAATTTCGCTGCTTGAACGTGGCTTGGCCGGCTTCACAATCGTATGTTCTAGCTTTCGGTCTGCCTGTCACCAACGACCATGTCACAATGACCCCTCGTCTTCCTCAATTCAGGTCCATCAGTTTGAAAGCCAGCCGGAGGTGGCAGCAAAGAAGTGCATGAAGTGGTGGGATGTAGCTCAGCTGGAACCCCGCAAGAAGCAACTACGGCCAGAGCATGCCAACCCTCGGTTCTAAGGAAGTTCAGAAGTGCCAGTGGGACCAAGCAAAGTTTCTCAGCGACGTTTTAGAGTTAAGATGTCGTACGGATGTGTATCACTTCCTTTCGGACTTGATGTCCCACGAACACTCGCAAGGCGGAGATGCAGTGAGATTCGGTAAGCGGCAACTGTCATCACTCCTAGGTTCAATGCTGGAACGACTTACATTGAGGGACCACAGATGCGCCGCCGGCGTACCTTGGCAAGTGAAGCGTTTAAGTCCGTACTGCCGAGCGCGGGAATATGCAACACTGACATGGACGCCGCACCCGCACTCGTGTGGAGAGGTGCCTACATCTTCTACCCGGACTTCAAATATGCGTGATCTGGTTTGCCTCGAGTGGTCCTGTCTTGGAAGCAGGAGGATCAAACCGAACCTTTTCACAGATCGACGCGGTTCCCTCCACCAGCACTGTGCGAGACTCCTGAAAGCTTCACACAAGACCACGTTCAATTGCTTTTTTGGCATTGGCAGAGGAATGCTTGCCATGATAGGAAGGCATGTTTTGGAGAGTTTGGCAAGCACTGTGCTGATTCTGCGGTGAGAAAGACTCATGCTTTCAATGGTCGATACATTGAATCTCATTCAATCACAGTAGCATGTGTCAGATGAACGCGTATTAGATCAGCATGTTCCGTTGAAGGTCCAGTGGCTCAGGCCTGAGAGGCTGTTGGCGAGGACGGCTCATGACTGTTGCGGACCTTACGTGGCATCGTTCAGCCAAGATGAAGACCATTGGATGTAGTTGCTTTTGTGTGTTGTTGGCATTTGCAACATAGGCAGTTTCACCGTTTCACCTGATTTCAATCCGTAGTGGCTGGAGGCCATGTGACAAAAGGAGCTGGCCAGACACGAGCCCGTCGCTGCCCCAAAGCCCCATGAACATTTCAACATATTTCAACCAAAGCGGGCGAAAACTACTCTCACGGTTTTTCGTGTCACGCCATCCCTGCCGAAGGCGCATGTCTAACGTCCTGTCATTGCTAGTTCTTTCGGCTGCACGAACCTTGGGATTCTTCGCACCTCTTTCACGGTCCAGAGACCAGAGATGTTTTCTTGTGGCCGGGAGCTTTCATGGATTTTCATGGACGGTTTTCGCAACAAAATTCCTCTGAGCAGGCTGGCACAAATGGAATGCAAGCAATCCGGAGAGGAATCGCAGCAGAGTCGGGCGAAAAGACACCGGGAAATTTGAACAGTGGCCGCAGGGGCGGATTGACGCGTCCGTCAGGCATGATTCAGAAAGATGGCGAGATGTTTTCAGCAGTGTAGGGTACGATGCCTTCGCGTCAAAGTTCAGCGATGTCTTGTTCGAGGCAGGCCGCAGCCAGCAACGAGAATCCAGAGGCTCCGATACAAGGGGATTGTTTGTAGAAACACGCCCTTCGAAGTGCCAGACCTTGTTCAAAAAGCAGCTGCTTACTCGGTCGCTGCGACTGGATAGAAGTCGTTCGAAACAACGCACGCTGGGCCTTGAATTTCGTAGATGTACGTAGTCGTGAATTCTGACTGTGTCCACAGTCCACATGTTCCATCCGATTTATGTCAAGTCAAGTGCGTGTGGGTGGGTGGGTGGCTGGGGTGGGTGGTGGGTGGGGTGGGGGAACGGGCCGGGGCGGGCCGGGGCCTGTCCGCCGCCTGCCAGCGTCCACTGCCCTGCCAACATATATGCGGCCTGCTATGCGAAGCATTCGAGAGCGTTGATTATCAATTATAATTATGATTGTGCAGAGTGCGAGCTCGATGTGGCAACCCCGCCTAGAATATGTTGGGCACTGCAACGTCAGGGATGCGCACGACATCAAAACGGCTTTAAGGCTCCTTTGCAAGTTACTCTCGAGCGGACGCTGCATCCAAACGACAACATTGCACTCTGAACACATTGGACATGTTTGCAGGCACATGTGGGCGGCTGGTGGTTGTAGCAACCGCACAGCGAACGTTCTCTTGTTGGAACTTCCAATGCCGGAGGTGGGAGGTGTCAAAACATGTCAAACCACTCCGGGCTCGGCTGTGGCACCTGTGCCCTTGTACTGTAGCCCACCGAGCCCATGCACAGCATGTAGGCTCAAGTGGCAGAATCCAGTGGTCGAGCTTGCCGTCCTGCACCTGCTGGGAACATGTTTTTGCCATGGCCGTGAACTGTCTGGCGGTCGGAAGCACCAGCACTTCTTCCCACTGCCACTATGAGGTGCAGACTCTTCAGAGATTGGTACAGTATTCGCCGCAGTCTGCCAACGAAGTCCGGAGGTGCAGCTGGGTCTAGGTTACCGCAACAGCCACACATGACACATGAAGCTTTTGAAGGTGTTTCAAGGCACTCCAGGATTTGCCCGTGCTACTTTGGACTTCTGCAGAGCTTGATTCCCTTCATCTACAAACCTACATACGAGGGCATTGCTGAGAAAGAAGGAAAATGCAAATGTCACACTACCTGCTTTGGCTGCGTTTGAACCGAGACCAGCCAGGCTGGTGCTGAGAGTTGTTGTTGCGACTTCGTGTACAGGGCATGGTCAATTATCGTGAGTTGGGCCCCTGAAGGTAGCCTCGAGTGCCCGATGTAGCAGTGCAAGTCAGCTGTTTTCGAGACGCATCATGGCTTGGTGTTTGAATGCTCTGCTCACGAAAGGAGTTCGCCAGTGCGTCACACATGTCCCATGCACAGGCTCTTGGGCGACACGATGATGCACTTTGCTCCAGATGCACGGGCTACCACACGGCTCCTCAGCAAGCTGGCCAAGGAGTCGATGGCGTGAGCAAAGGGTGTCAGCCTGGCTTATCAACCTACATCACGGTGTTGTTGTGTTAAGCGATTGTGGGAGGCAGGCAAGAGCGAAGCTGCATTGGCGTTTTTGCAGCTCGTGCCTCAGTGGTGCTCAAAATTAACCGTGGGTATCAGTGAGTTCGGCCCACCTCTTGTCGCTCCGCGAAGCTGGTCCGACTTGTGGGCATGCGCACTAGGTCGCTAGGCTTCAGTTCGTTCAGCTTTAGTGATGTTCAGAAAGTCCCAAAAAAGTCAACAGAGCTGGGTGGCAAATTGAGTGTGATGAGCATGCAGGCATGTCATGCCCGGGATGCAGTATTCAGAATGTAGCTCTTTTGTCAGCAAGTCGAGACAAGGCTCCTTTTGGCCGTGGTCAGGTTCCTGAGCCCCAGCCCAGGTGCTGCCAGGAAGTTGGGCTGGAGGCGAGCTTTGGCCAGGTCTTGATTGTATGTATACAAACAGGTTGTTGATGCCCAGTGTCGCTGCTTTCCTTCCGCCTGACATTCCTGACTGTGATCGTGTACAACTTGTGAGAGTTTTGTCAGGAACTTTCTGCCGTCTGCAGTCCTGTCCTGAATGAAATAGCGCATACAGCGCCGAGGAACGTATTTCACTTTGCAGCCGTGCTGCGTGCTTTTGCCCAGAGCAGTGGCTGGGATGCCGCTTTGGTCCTTCTGGGAGACATGGAACAAAAGTCAGTCCGGAGCAACGTGATCGCGCAGAGCTGCGCCATTACAGCCTGCGAGAAAGGGGGCAAGTGGGTGGAGGCTGAACAGCTGACAGCGATTCGCAAGCATGTCTTCAACCGTGTCAGTTGAGGTTCTTGGATTCAGTTGTACACAGGATAATAGTTTTGTTTTTTGTGAAATGAAGAGATATGAAGAGAGTCGAACAGGCCCTGGTGCTTCTGAAATCGATGCGCAGCTCTACAATGGAACTGGACACCGTCGCCGTTAATTCGGTCATATCTGCTTGCGAAAAAGCGGGCCTGTGGCAGCTGGCGCTTCGTTTACTGAGTGTTTTGCAGGACACATCTTTCGAAGTTCTGCAGTTGCAGTTTTGTCTTGGCCAGTGGTGACAGCAGCATCGCGAATCGCGAGGAGGATAGCCTGGAAGCCAGCTGCGTGTCATACAGTGCTGCGATCAGTGCTTGTGAAAAAGGTACGGCCTGGCACGGGTCTTAGTAAAGCAATGCTTTGAGTCTACCCCAGAAAATGTACGAAGTCGTTCATGCTGGGCAGGCTGCTAAGATCTTGTGTGGTACCCGTCCAAGACAATTGTTGGCATTGGCGACTGTGCACGCAGGACCCAGGCACTGAATTTGCTCGATGCTATGGCAACAGAAAGCATACAGGTGAACACCATCTCGTGCAGCTGCCTGGCACAGTCTAGCATAGCTTTTTCCACAGCTCTTGCACGGATCTGTATTGTGCGAGGGGCCGAAAAGCCACAATACCTAGGTGCTGCAATCAGTGCATGTGCAAGGAAGGGCGAATGGACACAGGTTCGAAATAAAGGGGAGAACGGCCATGGCATCACAGAACAAACGTGTTCGCATAGGCAACGGAGGGTTTCGCAATGTTTCGCAGGCATTGCAGATCTTGAACCAGATGGCGCGCATGGAAGTTGCCATCAACGAAGTTGCATTAAGTGGAGTCGTCAGCGCGTGCGAGAAAGCATCTGCATGGCTAGAAGCAATGGCCCTTCTTCAAGCCGCCAGGCTCATGTCAGTACGCAGCATGGACCGTCCTAGCGTCGCTCAAGTGCTGCATGGTTACACATATCCCTCATACATTTGTATACGATTTTGCCCTAGGCCTCGAGGCCAATGAGCTCCTTGGCATCATCAAACCCTTGGGATTAGGATGTTTGTTGCTGACGTCTGGGACTAGTGACTAATGGCAGACAAGGTGTCTCTCCAGATACCATTTTCTTCTGCGCAGCCATCACTGCATGTGCAAATCGCGGCGAGTGGGCGCAAGCGTTGGGGCTCCTACACTCCATGGTGCCCGGGCCTACCTGTATTGCAACAACTATTATGTGATGCATGCCAGAAGCTCCTGCCGTCAAACCTGAACCGGGGCATTTTCATTGCCAGGACCAAGCCGTGGTGGCCAAAAACCTCATCACCTTCAATGCCGTCGCTGGCTGCAAGCGATCCCTTCTCATCTTCTCATAGCAACGCTGCACACGCTTCAGTTGCTCCGGCAACGTACTCCTTCCTGCTCCCGCTATACTCTCTGCCCCTCTAGAGTCCTCGGTATAAAGCGTCGCCCGCAAAACAGGTAGGCTTGGCATCAAAAGTCATGATTTAGCAACACGGAAAGGTCATCAGTGCCTGTCATGAAGGAGGAGAGTGGCAGAAGGCGCAGATTGTCGCGTGTGCAGATGGACCTGATGCACAACTAGACACGCTGGGCTGAACACTCAAAAAGACACTTGAGGAGCAAGCATGCAAGGGCTGCAATGCATGATATTGAAGTGGCAGATACTCTACGTGCAAGAGTTGGGCACCTGCTTGTGTGTGCGATCTCGAAAGAGGTAGCTTGGCACTATCATACAACTACCGCAGCCACAACCCAGCCGCGAAGGCGCTCGACCTCTTCGAGACCTGCGCGTCTGCGAGGCAGCGCCGGGCCCCGGCCGCTAAAGCTTGGAGAGAGCTACTTGTAAGTAGCCGCAGTGGCAGTCGCTAAGCATTCGCAGGCTCAAGAGAGACATTGTCACCTACAATGCCACGATCGGTGCATGTGGACAAGGATTCTCGGTTCCAAGGCGATAGGCCCAAATGCCGCTTTTCGAAACCAGCACGGCAAGCGTAAGACTGAATCCGGGCCTTTTGTGCAGGAGCGACACGCCGCAATTTTTCCATGATCGGCAGAAGCTTGCATGGTTTGAGCATGAACAACCTGGGACTTACCGAAGCCTTTGGCTTTGTCCTGTAGGCGGACAAAATGTGTACAAAATGTGCCTGTGCATAGGTGCTTTTGTTGTTGCCCCTGCCGCTTTCCGCTGGCGGCGGACGCCATGACCGGTGAGCGCTATGACTTTGTGGATGCTTTGCGTGTTTCGATGGGGCGGCTAATCAGCAGCCGCGCCGCCTTCGAGCCTTGGTCGGTCACCCAGCCCAGCCAGCCCAGCCCACCCAGCCCAGCCCTGCCTTTACGTTTTTGAGTCACAAAACTTTCCGCCAAGCCAGCCCAGCCCAGGCCAGCTCTGCCCAGCCGCCCGGGGTGACCCCAGCACCCGCGAGTTATGACGTCAGCGGCTGTGGGGGTGACCAGGACATTGCCTCGAGCCTCACAAGTCTTTGCAGCTTTATTTCTCGCTGGATCAGAAGTTAGTTGATGAGCATCAAGACCGGAATCTCGCAATTGGAAGAGTTTCGTTTCCTTTTCCATGACGAAGCAGGGGTTGGCTCCGGGGTTGCGAAGCTGGGCTTGAGGGAAGACTCAGGAGAGCATGGAAAGCCACTTGCACGTATTATTCCCAAGTTGAGCAGGATCGCTCTAAGGCTCTAAGGTGGCTCTGGCCGATCTCGATTCTATGTTGGCCGCCTCTCAGCTTCGAGGCCTGAAGGAAACCTTTTGGGTCCGGTGTAAGTTGAGGTTTCCAGCCGAGTTGCAGCTCTCGGACGCAGTTGTATCTAGGATTAGCCGAGAGCTGTCCAAGCCCATACTGTGTATTTTCGATATCTGGAGGATGTGATCTCTGCAGTTCCAGCTGCGTGCCTCTCAGAAAAAGAGGCGGCTGGCAGATGGGCTGTACACGGACGAGCCGGAGACTGACGAAGTGGTCGCCACAGGGACGTAGATTCGTACTTTCAGAAGCTCCATACGGTCATGATCGCATATGCTCTTAACGGCACGTAGAGCATCCCTAGACTGGACCCGTTGGGAAGAAGGTCTCGGAGCCAACACTTGTGATTTCGTCAAGGCCCTCCTATATTGCATTCTGGCACACTACTGCCGTGTGCGTATGTCAGCAATGCACATACCCGCGGGCCACTGCCTGGCCTGGCAGCATGGGGACTCGGAATAAGAAAGACCCCAACAGGTGTCGCGGTTTCGTTAGGGGACCTGTACTCTCGGAGCGGTGGTCCGTAAGGTTATGGAGATGCACGAAGCCACTGGTTCGTCGGCGCCTCTGTGGAGCTGGGTGGCAGAGGTACAGCAATGGCCCCCAGTACGTTGCCATCACACCCACTCTCATCACGAGTGGGCCTGCGACGGGCCTCAGAGTTAGCAAGGAATGATTTATGAAGCAACGGAGCCTACAGCATGCCTTGCCTTTGGCCTTGGCGGTTTCTCTCAGCTGGTGGGCAGCCTGGCAGGGTAGAGCTGCCGTGAGAGTCTGGCGGGGAGACAGGAGCGATGGGATGAGACGAACCCCAAAGCGCTGCGTGGTTGGGCTGTCGAGCGCATGGCAATCTGTCTTGGATTGCACCCGGTAGAGGGAACCTTCGGCGGCCTCGTCCCGAAGTGCAGGCAGATCGTCGTTGACAGGCAGTTCCTCTTGTGTTTACGTGGGACGTGGGCACCACACGCATAGGCCCATTTCTAACAGATGGGCTTCCCCGTTCGTGCCGGGCCACAACTGCACCCCGTCCGATTGGGTTCCTTGCTATGCTGCGTTGAGCACGTGGTGACGTCATTGTGAGACGACCTCCACGGCCTCTCCGAGAAAGTTTTGGTGTGTGACTGTCCTAAGGAAGCGCTCTGTGAAGCCGATGTACTAGCCGAGCGAGTCTGGCACCAGCTGCTAAGGTCAGATCTAGTAAGCAGGCCAGGGCGGAGCAGGGAGTTGGACTCTGGCGAGCGGGATTAGCAGGATACCGTCGGCAGCGTCCAGTTGCATTTCGTATACCACTCAGGGGTCGATCATGGTCGCTGGATGGCTCAGGCAGCGGGGCCTGGGGTGGGCCACTGGGTCCTGCCCTGGCAGACCGCAACTGCAGGCTGATGCAGCGTACTGCGGAAGGTTAGCAGGCGGGCGCTTTGTTCGGGAAGAGCGGTGTTGCCACCGCTTCTCGCCTTTGGTCTTTCTCCCGAGGACCACTGTTGCCAATCACTTGAGCGGGTGTTGTACCCGCTGCCTATCGAGCAGCCGCCGGTGTTGCACTGGGACTTGCAGCTCGCGGCAGAGGTGACTGTCCACAAACAGGAAGCGACGGTGGGCGTCGGTGGGTGACCACTTTAAAGGCTACCAAACTCCGGAGATCCGGAGGGTCACCGCCCAAAGGGATTTGGGGGTTGGTGTGGTTTTTCGGTTTTCGTCATCCGCCTTTCTTGGCCCGATGTTTCCCTTCCTTTTCATGTGCTGTCAGGTATGCCAGCTGTCGGCACATCGTATCCACGCGGGGTTGTACCCTCAGCAGCCTTTTCGAGAGATTCCCCTGGGAGAGGTGCTCCACAACCTGGAATAACACAATAAATCTATCCAAGCGGCTCGCCGACTGCGAGTACTTTGGGGCACAAGTTGCTGGACTTAAGTGGCCGCACAAAAGAAGTAGGTCAACACCTCGAGGATGTCAGTGCAGCGGAGTTCTTGCAAGAACTAGAGCTGCCGACAGTCGACAAAGTGTATGTCAAAGTTCCGCACGGCTACCCCGAGGAAGTGCTCGAGTACCTTACCGAAAGGCTTGGCGGCGACGTTCTTCCCGACATGGTCGAACTACTATGCCGAACTCGGCTGTGGTACCTGGAGTACAAGGACACGATCGAGGAATTGGGCCTCAAGGAGTTAGCTTTGATTCCAGAGCTGTTTCGGACATTCCACGGCAAGGTAGCCCGCTGTGCGATGGCCTCGATCCATGTGGACGGTATGCCGGTGATGAGACCGGCCAGAGGCTTTGGGACAAGCTCCATGCGAAGCTGAAGTTTGGCAGGTTGCGCTGAGCTATGGAGGTGGGTGAAACTTCGTGGACGCTAGGAGCGGCTTTGTCCAAAGACGTTCGAGTACACCAAGGACATTCAAAACATGGCTTCGTCGTCTTCTACCTCGAATCCCGGTGTCCCTCAACAGCGGCTGGAATAGCTTCGTCGTCGGGTGACCGGGTGTCCAAGTCCTTCAACGGTGTGCGCAGGTGACTTCGCGGTGATCTCCCTTCTGGCAGATGCCATACGCAAGGTGACCTTGCATCCAGACGAAGCCTTGACGGAGGGGGAACAAAAGATCGTTGGCTCCGTGGTCGGTCCGTGAACGGGCCGCCACACAAGGTACATACGACCTAGCTTTTGTGGCATCGAGCAGCCAGCAGGGGCAGGGCGCGGTGACCCTGGCCCTCAATGTCTTGAACCAAGGAGTGAAGCGAGCTCGGGAGAACATCGTGATCCCAGTCCGCAACCTAGGTTGCGAGAAGACATGGTGATATGGTGATCGTGCCTGTGAGCGATGCTGCTTATGGAGCAATGTCCGGATGAGCCAAGCAGGCTTTCTAATCTTGATCGCCGCCCCGTACGTCCTCAACGGCACTGCTCTGTGAATTGGAGTGCACGAGCAGCAAGATCCTGCAGGTGGTTAGGTGCTCGATGTCCGCGCTTTCGATTTTATTGCCCGGGCCACCTTCCGCTGCAAGCCGTGGAGCATCCGAGAGCGCGTCGTTCTCACCAGATTTTTGTCACAGGGGCAGAGTTATCGACGATCAAACGGGCCGTAGAAGTCTGGCTAAAATTTAGTTTGGCCAGCGCTGTAAGCTCGGCAGGGCAAAATCCCGTGAGGCACGAAGGCGCGTGAAATTCAACAGTTTCGATACTTGACATCTGAAGTGAAGTATGTCTAAACCGACTCTGAGCAGTCTAAGCAGTTGGAAGACCCCGGTCTGCACCTGTGCAGTGCTTCAGTTTCTTCTGTGTCGTTGATCCGAGCCTCATCACCCAGCCTGACCTCGGTACCGTGCCTGTTTTCTCGAGCAAGGCATGGCTCCAGCAATCTAGCTACCTGCCACTGCCTTCTCTCATCCCCGAACTTGACTCGAGTGCTGTCGCCCGCAAGCAGATTTACAGGACAGTGCTTGCCCGCATGTCAATACACCAATCTCAACACCCTTGGTCCCGGTTCGGTTGAAAAGGACATTGGCTCAAGACGTTTGGGTTTTCGACAAAGCTTTGGATTACGCACCAAATTGCGCAATGCAGGTTGCCACCTTCGATTAATTCGCTGCCCTGCAGGTCTCGCACATGTCTTACATGCTGCCAGTTACATCTTCACGGTCATGTTGCCTCGCCACCTCGTTGACCTTGGCTGATATGTTTACGCCTTGCGTCGTTCCTGCGTTTTTGTCTGCACGTCTGCATGCGAGGCACAAGCTACACACAAAAGGACAGTACAGGGTATATCAGAGGGAGAGGTTGAGACGTCGCGCCATCTGCTCTTGTTCTGCATAGCGAATGGAGATGCACGCGGCGCTCCAACACGAAAACCTCTTCAGAAACGATCGGCTCGGTCGACTGCTCCCATGACTTGTGCTTGAGCCTCGAGCCGCTGACGTCCTCGACCGTGACATTGACAGCCACTCAGGTGTAGTGACCAGCTTTCCTGCCGCGGAAAAGAGTCGAAAGGATTCACTCCAAGCGACAGGTTCGGTAGAACTAGCGTGTTGCGCCCGCGCCCTCGGCGAAACCCAACCAAGTCGTCAGAAAACCAGCAGAAAGCACACTACAAACTCAAGGACTTGAAAGGACGATGATCCATGACGGGCTGTACGAGACTGGCCGTCCTTGCCGGGCTGCCGGCGCTTGTGCTCGCGATGGTTTTCGCGATTTTGGCCGCAGGACGCACACAACGTACGTTCGATTGCACTGCCGCATGCAGAGATCCTGGAACTCCGCGGACAGACACTTGCTGTGAATCAGATTTACCTGGTGGTGGCAACCGAAAGGCACCTTGAGTAGCCAGTACAATGGATTCGCTGAAAGACTGGAAGATGTGTTCCGTGGAAGAAGGCACCAAAACCCGATCTGTTTTTGGGATTTCTTCAGGGCCTCGTAAAATCCCCGACTTGAGCACCAGCCGATGAAGGGGTTTTTTCTGCACGAGGTGAAGAGGTAGAGTCTAAATGGATGTATCACATGGTGCTGGACCGGCCTGCCCAACAAATTCGGTTTCAACTCCGCTGACCGCATCACAGCACGCAGAAACCAGGTGCGTAGCGAGCAAGACACCCACATGTCCGAAGATACTGTCGATCCTCTCACAGAGGGAGATCACAAATAGCCCGGTTCTGCTTGTCTCAGTGGAGGCGAGACAATTGCAAAAGCATGCACCTCGTCTTTGAGCAATTCGCGAAGCCTCGTCGAACTGCAAACCTTCAAGGACCTGAGCAATAGCTGGGAACATCCGAAGAATTGCAGCAACCGCGACAAAGCTCTCCGGACTAGCGGTTGTCTTGCCTCCTTTGTTGCCTGTCATGCTATGTCTTTGCATGGTCTAGTACTCTTTGCCATCGTGCTGTCCGAACTTTGCAAATCTCGGAGGCAAAACTGTTCTTTCTGGGCCATTCTTTGCAATGCATGCATGCAAAGAACCTAGGAGCACAATGGGAAACCGCACTTTGGGCATTGATGGTGGCACAAGAGCAGAACTTGCTGCCAACCGTCGGGGACTCAGGAGGTTGCTCCCCATGCTCCGACACTGACACTGTGTCACGGAGTGCCTTTCTTCCAGAGCCTATGCTGGCCTTAGGTAATCACGTGCAACTCTGCGATCCTGGGTTGTGCACGAGCCCGCAGCTGGCAAGCTGCACTTTCACTTCTAGGCCTGTAGACCGCTCCGGTGCGTTTCCTTCGGCTTGAATGGGGCATTTTGGCGATCATGAGAGGATCGTCGGCTTTGCACCAAGTTCGACCGAACGTAATCAGTTCCTTGGCTGGGAAAGCCTCGCATGTTCGGTGTCTCAAAGGTTGTCCTCGCTTGTTTCAATCCGCAGCCGCAGGCTACGAAGCGGCAGCGCTGGCTTGCCAAGCTTCTGCTAGCCTTTGCGTGCTTTTGTCGGAGGTGTTCAACCTTGGCATGCGGCTTGACTGTATTTGTGTGCGTGCGTGCGTGCGTGCG